CAAGTGGAAGCTCCTGGAAAGTTAAGTAAGAAGCAAGAGAAGTCACAAAGAGGCCGTGAATGAGCCCAGTGAGGACCATGGGCTCAGGGTGCACCCAGGAGGCCAGAGAAGACAGGGGTTAGAATAGTCTGGAACAACCAGGAACATTTCCTGGAGGAAGGTATGTTAGACTTTTGTTTTGTTTTTTTGTTTTTGGCGCCGGGGATTGAACTTGGGTCCTTGGGCTTGCAAGGCAGGTGGCAGAAGCACTGAGCTAAATCCTCGGCCCTGGAGGAAGGTATGTTAACTGGATGTTAAAAGACTGGTAAGACTGTTAAGAAGTGATTAGACAAAGAGAAGGGAAAGAAGGGTACTCTGGATGAGGTGGGTGGGGCTGGTGCAGGAGCCAGGGGACAGGACGGGCAGGGCTCTTTAGGGTTTCAGAGCCATGACTCTATGACCTGAGATGTTTTGTGTGAGGGTGGGTGGTAGGGCCAGCCACCTTTCTTTCCCTTGTCCACCTGCCTAGGACATCTAGTGTCTTAGTCTGTTTTGTGTTGCTATAACAGAATTCTTGAGACTGAGTAATTTATAAAGAAGAAAATTATTTTCCACAGTTCTAGAGGCTGGGAAATCAAAGTCTGAGTAGCTGCATCTGATGAGGTCTTCTTGCTATGTCATAAGGTAGCAGAAGGCATTATATGGAGAGAAAGCAGGAGCGTACAGAAGCAGGTTTCTTTTCCTCTTCTTAAAAAACACCTAATTCCATTATGGAGATCCCACCCTTATGACCTCATTTAACCCCAGTTACTTCTGAAAGGCTCTAATTCCAAGTATGGTGGACAAATGAATCCAGCGCTTAGGTGTCCAACACATGAAATTTTGAGAGATACATTCAAGTCATAGCAACTATACAGTGTAACGTAGGCAAGAAACTGGTCAAAAGAGGAAGGGCTGGCTAGCTTTAATTAATGCAAATAGTCCCCTTGTAGGGTACTCTGTAGTCTTCAGAGAGTCTTCAGGTTATTTGGCTGACCTGGACATTCCAATACCAGCCAAAGCATGGTAAGACCAATAGTTTGGTTTGCTCAAGACTGAGAAGGTTCCTGGGACATGAAGCTTTCAGTTTGAAAAAAGGGATGAGGACTGGAGGGTAATTCTGTGGTAGAGCATTTGCCTAGTGTATGCAAGTTTCTGGGTTTGATTCCCAGTACCAGAAAGAAAGAAAGAAAGAAAGGGGGGGGGGAGGAAGGAAGGAAGAAAGGAAGGAAGGAAGAAGAGGGATGAAAGGAAGGAAGGAAAGAAAGAAAAAGGAAGAAAGAAAACAAAAATGTAGTGAGTAGGTAACCTTATAAAGAAATCCTTCTGGAAAGCGGTCTTAAAGCAAGTTTGAGAGAGTGACCCCAATAGTCCATGCCTTAGGTAATAGAACTTGAGTGTTTTTAGGATATATGTTTGGTGTTTAGTTTTATATTATTCTCCAATAATTTAGAAGAGCAGGATTTCTATGTTACTGCAAGTGACAGAAAGAGACATTACTCTACAAGTCATTTAGGCAAGGTTTCCTAGATGCTGTTCCCTCAGGAAACTTTAATTGGTACTTCCAGAACAAAGGGCTCTTGGATCCTTGGGAACAGTGAGTCCTTGAAAATCCATCTGCCCCATCCTTATCTTCAAGAATCACTTGCTCATTAGTATGTTAAGGCTCATAAAAGCCCTAAAGGAGAAAAACCTGTCCTGTTTAATGGCTAAAGAAGCAAGGCTATCAGCAGAGTATTTCTCTTTAAGTAGTAGGTCTCCAATGCCCACCACACCATGTCCTCTTATTTCCAGTGTGGGACTTTGGAAGAAAACAGATCTATCATTCACTCGCTTTGTGGCCTGGAGGCCCTATACTAACTTAAGGGTTCCATGGGGAGATTTGCAAGGACAATCCAGATCTAAGTAAAATTTCTATTCTTTTTCAATTTCTCTCTCTCTTTTTTTTTTTTTAATAATCCACTGGCTTACAAATTCTGGGTCCTATTCAAAGACAACAAAACTCTTCAATTCCCTGAACTCTTCACACTGAGATCTCAGGCTTGAACCTTATTTTCCTCTGGGCTGACCCACTAGCAGCAAAGGGCCCCTTTTCTGGAGACAGCTCATCCCTACCAAGGAAGATGGACAAAGCTGAGTCTGGGGTGGAGCAGGGGTGAGGCTGGAACCCCTCAACTCCTCTTTCCTCTTACTTTCTTTCCTGGGGCAGCTGGAATCTTCCCCCAACTGTGGTTTCAATAAGACCTTGGCTTTCCCCAGCCTTTTCAGGCCCATAAGGAAGAAGGGCTGGGACCAGACCAGGCCGAGGAGGTGTCACCCACTACTTCTCGTGTGCCCTCGCCAGCAGATATCAAGAGTGCCCCCACCACTCTCACCCCAGCTGGCACTCTGGGAGAAAAAAGGCAAAAGAAGCCTGATGGGGACAGGATGTAACCACAGTTGCAAGGCCATGTGCAAGAGCAGCAGCAGGGGAGACTTCCTGGAGGAGGGAGGACTTGAGAACAACTTGCAGTGTAAAAGAGGTTTCTTCTAGTCTTAAACTAGGTGGAGATTCGGGCCCTTAAAATGCATGCACCCTGGTTAAACTGTGAATGAATACAAGCTGGACTCTGGAGGCCTGAAAAGTGAGAGTAGAGTGAGCAAACCTGTTTAGGAAGCCAAGCCTAGAGTTTTCTAGTGGCCCAGGGACTGTCTACCCTCAAATTGCACTGGAAAACCACTCTGAGACCCCTGGATCCCTAAGACCTCAGAAATGGGTGTGGTGGCAGATATGCAGGGGCAGCTGCTTCTACTCTGAAAGCAGTCCATGGACAATTCCTGGACATGGGGCTGAGGGGTACCTGATAAATGAAGATAACTGAGGTTTGATCAGTGGTGTTTCTTCTGTTTCCTCTTCCCACTCTCCAGGGCCCTGTTCTCTCCTCCTGCGCCCAAGTAGAGGATGTGCACTTTAAGAGGAACCTGAGGGAGAGCCAGTGTTACTGGGAGGTCTGTCCTTCCCCAGTGGCATTTCAGGGCCTGCTCTGGTTATGATGGATGCCTGGCTGAGCCCTTCCTCATACCCTTATTATCACACTGTGTTCCTGAGACAGTTGCCTACCCTAGGCCAGTCCTGTTTGCTGAGTTATTCTGTCAAGATTGAATGGGGTGGGGGCCGTCATCAGAAGGGCTCACTGGCTCAGTTAGTCCCACGTGGCCAGGCATGTGCGGTTCAGTAGCCTGCTGAGGCCTAAGCAGAAGGGACAGCAGCTCCTTTCCTGAGACAAGTGGGAAGAAAGTATCAGCCATGGCTGACCGAGCAGTGACCCAAGGCCCAACACAGAGCCAATTAGCAACCACTACAATGGCAGTGGGCTTGCTGCAGCTTCCATGGGTGGCCCCATGTGCAGCCAATGTGTCAGGCCAAGTTAGCACCAGGAGGCCTGAGTGGTGTCCAGCTGCCTACATCAAGAATGTGGATGTAGTGGTTCTCCTGGGCTCTGAGGAACTGAGCCAAGCGAGACGTGTGAATATGCAAGCTTCTGCTCACAGATTTGTGTGCAGGCCTGTGCTGGGTGTGTGTTTGTGCACGTGTTTGTCATTTAGCACTTGTGTGTCAGTTGCATGTATATGCCTTCTCATGTCTGTTTAGAACATTTAGTGCATGCCTGCTGTGTGCACTGGGAAGTCTGAGGCTAAACAAGTGAAAGTCTCTGCTTTGGAGAGATTACCTTCTAGTGGGACAGACAGAAAATAAACATCTACTATGTAGTCACATAGCAACTAAGTTCAGTGAGGTAAAGTAAAGCAGGAGATGGGACAGGGGCTGCTGTCTAGTTTTTGTGATCAGGGATCTTGGCCTTAATGATGAGGAGGTGTGGCCTGTTGAGTATCTGAAGGAGAGGGCTATAGATGAAGGGCAGAGGGTGGAGCCAGAGTGAGATGAGCAGTAATTCTACTGTGTTGCTAGGTGTGGTATGGACAGGAAGAAATAGATGTCAGAGCTGGTGTGGCATCAGACAGCCCAGACAGGTGGATGACTCTCAGTAAGAATCCATTTGCCCAGCTTGCCTCTGAGGGCCAGCTCTTTCCCTCTCCTAAATCCAATCCCAATGCAGGCACACCGGGGGCTCCCCTGGTCGTGCAGACAGCATCTGGGACTGTCCTCAGTGGGTACTCTCAGCTATATGGATCCAGTATGTCCCCATGGCACCCAGCTCCAAGAGACGCCCAGGGAGAGCAATCTAGGCTCCCACAGCCAGGCTTGACCCTGGGACCACAGCCTGAAACTGGTTTTGACACTGTGTCCTAAAATCCAGAAGCAGGGCTGCCTCATACAGCCCACTGGCAGATAATTCGATAGGCTGCCCAGAGCCCTGGATGGGCACTGGAGACCAGATTCTGTCAGGGGCCAAGGGTCTGACATAGTGCCTAATCCCAGGCAAATCAGCAACCAGGACAGGGCCTTGGGAAAGCTGGGAGACCTTGCCTGCAGTCACTGCTTGCCACTCACATCAGTGGAAGGGCAGGGTCTGGAACTCAGCAAAGAAATGGGAAGCCAGCTTCAGACCGCGACCTCCATCTCCCAAGCCCCACAGCCCTGGACAGAGAGCTCTTTAAACCTGGAGAGGGATACTGAGCTGGCTCCATCTTAGGTGGCCGTAAGAAAAGGAAGGGGGCATGGGTGGAGGAAACTGTTGTCATTACATCAAAGCAGCCAAGGGCCCCCTTCAACTGGGGAAGATTGACTTGGGTGTCTCTGGAGGGTGTCAGGTGCAAAGCCCCTGTCTGTGTGTTTGCCTGTACACATGTATGTAGCATCCAGTACCATCCTGACTGTTTCCATGTCTGTGAGCGAGCCTGGGTGCCACTGCCTCTGCCCCGTGTGACCCCCCTGTAGCCCCTGCGTTGCCAGCTGAGAGGGGCTGTCTGTGCCTTTCTCAAGAAGAGTATGTGACTATCCCAAGGTTTGTCGCCTGCCTCTGAAGTCTGTAACACCCTCTTTCCCAGATGACCTGGAGGCTCTCAGGGGAGAAACTGCCAGCTCAACTCTCGCTAAGGCTGCAGATGGCCATGGTAAGGAGGCTTAAGTGACTCTCAGGAGATGCCAGTCTGTCTGTGCTGTTAGTTGGCAGAGGTTTGCATTTAGCTTTGCCTACACACACACACACACACACACACACACACACACACACACTCTCTCTCTCTCTCTCTCTCTCTCTCTCTCTCACTGCCCTGAAGCTAGTCAGGCCAGAGTTCTAAACCAGCCATACATTGATCCTGGCCTCTTACTGACTCCTGGCTGTGGCTTCAGACTTACATCCCTGCTGTTACCCACCTTGAAGGCACATTGGGGGGTGGGGTGAGGAAAGGCTGGCTGGGACTGGCAGCTCATCTGATGCCCACTGGGCTCAGAGATTTCATATGTGGGATGAAAGGAAGATGTAGTTGAGCCCTTCCCCCTAGTTTATCAACTCCACTGGCTACAAACCAAGTGTGTGTGATACAGCCTGCCCCATCTCACCTGGTAGGCCCTTCCCTGGGACCCTCTGGAGCAGGAAAGAGGAAAAGGGGGGTGGAACAGCCTTGTGCACACCTATGTTCTACTTTCACTAGGGCAGTGGCTACACAGATTTTTTTCTGGGTAGTCCCAAGGAGGGAAATTGGACCAGTCTGTTCAGTATAAGGAAAAAATTCCTCATAAATCATAAGGTAGCAAGTTACTAGTTGTTGATTTATAGATTGGTGTTAGGCCTGGTTCGTGAAGTGGAAGGTAGAACAGCTGCCTCCCTGTCCAGAAACTTCTTAGTTACCTAATTGGCTCAATTTCTCCCTTTTCTTTATTTTCCTTGAGGGAGGAAGTCAGCTTGTCAGAGAGCAGTCTCTTCTTCTCGTCAGGAATTCCTGTCACAGGACACTGCTAGGAGCTGTTTGAATAATGGCAGGGTGACAGTGGTGGCAGAAGTAAACAGGAATGGTTCTCTGCTGTTATGGCTAGTAGGGCTGCCTCTGACAGGAGTTCCAAGTTGAGGCCAGCTGGACCTCCTTCAGCCAGCTGCCACCCACCCCCAAACACACACTCAGGAGCAGAGAGATTGGAAAGAGAAAAATTCTGAGAGGTCCTAAATTTAGTCACAGGCCAGAGGTTGCAAAGAGATAAGATAAACTAGTCAGCTAATAGCTTCAGGTCAAACAAACAAAGAACCTGTCCTACATTCCTAAGCATGTGTTGAAACCCTTGATGCAGAACCCCAAGAGGATGAGCACAACCCCAGCCAATCGATGAGTGACAGGTGCTTTTCCTCACGGACTGTCCTCCTGCTCCCAAACTTTGAGCAATTCACCTTGTCCCAACTCCCTTACCTGTGGTCAAGGTAGGTTCATGGAAGTGGTTTATGCTCCTTTTCCTCCAAATTCTGTGGCTACCTTGCTCTGCTGCTGCTTGCTTATGGAATTTGTCCCAGAGCCAGTCCTTTCTTCATGGATAGCATTTGTTATAGCTCAGTAAATCTTTTAATTGCAGGGATATCTTTATCTCTAGAATTCTGATTTGACAATATGCCAGGATCTTATATCTTCCTGTCCAGTTCTTGCTTGTCATTCCCCCTCATCCCACTGCACCCCTACATGGTCTTCTCGGGCCTAGCAGCTTAGCTGACACAATGCTGAGGCAATTCATAAAGTCCTTTGAGTGCTTGTCACTAGATAGATCTTTAACTCAGCCACTGAGTTGGGCCCCCTGGCATGTGATGAGGTGGGGGGAGGGTACCAAGAACACGGAGTAACTGCTTGGGTGGGGGCAGAGGCACAGTGTAGAGAGTCAGGAAGCCTTGCTGACTTGGACAGACAGATTATGTGAACATAGCAGGAGTCAGTGTTTTTTTTTCTTGGTTTGTGCTTCATCTCTTACTAAAAGTTTGCTTTGGTTACCCTGCTGCAGAATACCAAACAACAAACCTGCTGACTACATGGACTATCACAGGAGAAACCCCCTTCCCACAGCATGCTGGGACCTTAGAAAGGGACATCTGGTGGTGACATGGTATGTGTTAGCAGTGGAATGGGGGTAGGTGGGAACATATTTCCTCAAATTTTCTTGTCCCACACCATGCTTCCGTGAGGCCTGGGGAGCTGGTAGGGAGACCAGGCTTAGACAGGAAGTATAGGAGGAAGAAGGGAGTGGGAGGGGAGAAGGACTGGGCCTCCACGCCTGTGTCTGACTCCATGGTGTCTCTTGGGCACTAACTATAGCTTGCAGCCTGGCCAGCCAGAGGTAGCAGAGGCTTAGATGCTGAGGTGGCCCCTGTCTGCAACTGTGTGTAGTGCACGTGTGTGATGGATGTGATGTGGGTGTTGAGTGTATGTGCTCTCAGGGCCTCCAGACCTGGCTTTCTCGCTAAGACTGGTGGTAAGGTCCCCCAAAATCTTTCAAGAAGGCCAAAGAACCCACTCCTGCCTCGGGTCCTCTCCAGTTCCCTTGGCCACCACTAGGGGGCAGCAGCCAACACGACCAGACCAGGGGAATTTCAGCAGCTCTCTCTGTTCTCTTCAGTTTTAACCGGATACAGCCTGGCCTTCCTAACCCCCAGGGATGGACAAGTCTCATTGAAGTGGACAGTGAGACCTCAGATTCAACTAAATGCCCATCACAGTCGTGAGCACAGTGACGTCTGTGGGAATGTGAGATGAATTAGTGAAGCTGCTGAAGAGGACCAGAGATAATCAAAGCTAGAACCCTGAGGTGTACTCATTAGTCGCTACAAGGATGAAAGTAGAGGGAGAAGAGGAAAAGCTTAGGGGACCAGACAGCCTGGCTGGAGATAAAGCAGGGCTCAGCCCACTGGTCAAAAGGCATGTGATGAGCAGACAGGCAGAGTCACCCTGATTGCAAAGGCAAATGACTTGAAGGGAAAGTCCTGCGGTTTCTGGAGCCAGGCTGGCCAAGTATTAGCAGTGTGATTTTGGAAAAGGTATTGAGCCTCTCTGTACTTCGGTTTCTTATCTATGAGATGGATAAAATAATAGTTCTATCTCTTACAGTAGATGTGAGCGTTAAATAGGTTAATTCATCCAAATCACTTGCAACACTGGCTGGGATAGAATAAGAACACTGTAATTGTCCTGGTATCAAGAGAAAGAAAAAAAAGAACACTATAATTGCTAGAACTAACTGTCTTCTGTCCTTGATTTTAGCCAAAAGGCCGAGAAGCAATTTGGTTATCTATTCCTGAGGAAAAGATTCATATGATGTTGAAATGTCTAGGATACCAAAAATTCCCCTCATAAGCTATACAGTATAGAAATTGGTCCCCACATAGGCAGGCATTGAATGGTCACATGTGAGCCCCATGTGGTGACTCATACCTATAATCCCAGTTACTTGGGAAGCCTGAGGCAGAAGGATCACAAGTTCAATCCCAGCCTGGACAATTTAGTGAGAGCCTCTTTTAAAATTTGAAAAAAATTTTTTTTTTAAAAAAAAGGTTGGAGCTGTTGCTCAGTTGTAGAGCGCTGGGTTAGATCCCTATTGTTAGACCCAGCGAGAGAGAATCAACCAGAGAGCGATATTAAATCCCCACAGGAGTTTATTACTGGCCGGGACCCGAGCTGAGCATTGGACTTGAGCCCCGACTGGGGGAGACAAACATGGTTTATACACCTTGAGGCCAACAGTTCCTAGGCCCCCCTATGGGGTAGAACTAGTAAAGCAAGCGAAAGGTACAGAAGCGGAACATCCTGCTGTTAGAACATTTGTAAAACAATAGTTGATTAATTGTTGTTTCTAAAGAGACTCTCTAAGGGGAGGAGGTTTCTAAGCTTCCTCCTTCTGAGTTCATCTAAAGGACAGGCAGGTGGGTCAAGCAGCGATGTGGAGTCTGTCTTGCTAACTAGGGTCCTTCATTCCCCACTAGTTCTTGTAATTTAATCAAATCTTTGATTCTCGTATTTACTCTTCTGATTTTTTTTTTAAAAAACTTTTAAAGTTCTTTTAAAGTCTCATAATTTTGTCTCAACACCATTCGTTTAACTGCATCAACCCGCTGTCTCATATATTTAATCAGAGCATTTATAATGTAATGTCCCACGAGTAAAAGCAGAAGTAAGATAACTAAGGGGCCTGTTACAGCAGAAACTAGGGTAGTTAACCGTGGGGACCAGTCAAATAGATTTTGAAACCAATTTTGATCCTTTGTTGAGCATATTTAGTCTTTAAATTTTTCCTGACCATAGCTAGGGTATCTCTAATGACACCAGACTGATTAGCATAAAAGCAACAGGTTTTTCCTAGGGCTACACACACAACCCTCTTTGTTTTATGATCAAGAGGTTAAGTCCCCTTCAATTTTGCAGTACCATCTCAGCTAGGGAATCAACCTGGTTCTCTAATCTGGAGATGGAGTCTTCCAGGTGACCCAAATCTCTGGCTACTTGGTGGCTTAGGGCTTTAAAATTTGTGTCCTGAAGGATCAGGGAGGAAGTTCCAATAGCCGCTGACCCAGCTACTCCTAATCCCTCCAGAATGGGCACTAAAATGGAGGCAGCCCGTTTACTCCTATAATGTTCAGTGGTTAATCCCAGATGTTCGCGGCCCCCTTTTTCATTATAATACAAGACTTGGGGAACAACATACACGGTGACACAAAATAAAGTGGCAGATTGGGTAGCCAAGACTGATTTGGGAATGTATTTAGTCAAGCCCTCAGTGCAAGCAAACCAAGTATATCAGAACCAGGTCTCCTGGCTTGAAACCATGGGGCTGGAATGTCGCAAAGGGGTTTTCTCGAGCCTGTTGTATTGTAGCCTGGATCTCACTCTGAAGAATCTGTAAGGCTTAAAGAGACTGAAGTAAAGAAACAAGAATTTTTTGTTATCTGTTTAAGGTTTAACTTAGGGAGGAGTGGTGGCGGCCTTCCATACAAGATTTTAAAAGGGGTAAACTTGTCAACATATGGGGTACATCTAACTTTTAACAAGGCTAGAGGAAGCAGATCGGGCCACCTACCTCCAGTTTCTAGAACATATTTAGTCAGGGTTTCTTTCAGGGTCCTATTTATCCTTTTACTTGCCCTGAACTTTGTGGGCGATAGGCACAGTGTAATTTCCAATCCATATGTAGTGCCTTCGCCGACAATTTGGATATCTGTGCCGTGAGGGCAGGCCCACTGTCAGACCCCAGGTAACGAGGGATGCCAAATCAGGGAACTGTCTCCTGGAGCAAAACCTTAGTTACTATGTTGGCTGATTCTCCACGAGTGGGGAAAGCTTTTACCCAACCCAAGTAGGTGTCAACCAATACCAGTAAATATTTGAATCTATTGCTGGATTTTATTTCGGTGAAATCAAGTTCCCAATGTTTCCCTGGCTCTCTTCCCTGTAGTCGATTATCGTTGCTCCTTGGTCTTGTCTTGGAGTTTACCTGTGCACACACCTGACACCTGGAACTGATGTCCTGGACCATAGAGGTCAGTCCTGGGATTGAAAACTTAGAGCTCATTAGTCTTTTTAACTTTGATTCTCCCAGGTGAGTTAAGTGATGTAACTGATGAAGAAGTTGTCGCCCCAGGGCTTGGGGGAGACAAATTCGTTCATTTGTCCCTTTCCACCAGCCTGAGTCCAGTTTTGTACCCCCTTGCTTTTGGTTTTCCTCTTCCTCTTCTGGGGTATATGTGGGTCTTTCTGGCAGGTTGCCAAAGGGTCGGATGGGCAGAATGTCTATTGGCCCCACTGGTTCTCTGGCCACTCATTGGGCCGCATCATCGGCCTCTCGGTTACCGCAGGCCTCGAAGCTGTCTCCTTTTTGGTGGCTTTTGCAATGAATAATGGCCAATGCCCTGGGTTCCCAAATTGCCTCCAATAAGGCCAAAACTTCTTCTTTATTTTTGATAGTTTTCCCTTCTGTTGTCAATAGTCCTCTCTGCCTGTAGATGTCGCCATACTCATGGGCAGTGGCAAATGCATACCGGCTGTCAGTGTAGATGTTTATAGCCTTGTCTCGACCTAACCTTAGGGCTTGAGTTGAGGCTATTAGTTCAGCCCTCTGTGCCAATGCCCCCCCAGCTTAATGCCTGTGTCCAGTGTACTTGTCCTTCTGGACTGACTATGGCCGCCCCCTCGTACCTGACTCTGTTCTGTCTGGAGGGATTGTCTCTTGTGCCTGGAGTGCAGCAATAGTGACTTTCCCCAGTTTCTTGGCTAGGACTTCCTCGGAGGTGTCACAGTTATCATAAACTTTCTGGGCTATGCTCAGGAGTTTAGTCCTATTTTTTCCCTCAAATCCCTCCAATTTCTGTAATTTATTTTTAATGTCTGGGGCCAACTGGGAAACAAAGGCCAAATTTAAAGCTGCTGCATTTTCGGGAGCCTTTGGGTCAATAGGAGTGAAAATTCTATAGGCTTCCAAGAGTCTCTCTAAAAATGCAGCCGGAGACTCTGTTTTTCCCTGGCTAACCTCACTTACCTTATTCAAATTAGTGGGCTTTCTGGCAGCTGTCTGGAGTCCCCCTAATAAGTGCTAGCAATAGGTCCCCAGCCTCCTCCCACAATCATCATCATTGGGGTCCCATTCGGGATGCCGTGATGGAACAGCAGCCTCAGCCCTGTCCGAATACCCCAGGCTTCTGGGAGTGACTCTGGGGTTTGGCCCCAGGGCCTCTTTGACTACCTGTTGATAAATGTGGTCCCACTCCTCAGTGGTGAACAGGATCTGTAAAAGCTGCTGGCAATCATCCCAAGTTGGCTGATGGGTATGAAAAACAGACTCAAGAAGAGAGATTAATGCCTGAGGTTTTTCAGAGAATGGGGGATTTTGATGTTTCCAATTGTAAAGATCACTAGTTGTAAAAGGGGCATAAATCAATCCTCCCCCAGGCTCTGTCTGTTTTAAAGAAAAAAGGGAGGAGGAAGATGGGGCTGATGGACCATAGTCCAGTCCCAATCGAGTGCCAAAGGTCGATGGGGACCTGTGGGGCCCCGACTCCCTTGACCACATTCCAAACCTTGCAAGCAATGTGCATAGAATAAGTTCCCACCAGGGGCCAACCGACTCTGAAACTGGGCCATTCTAATTGACACAGGCTTCATAATTTGCCTTTAGAAAATTTCATGCCATATTTATCTTCCCTGTCTGTGGAATAAATTTTTTTGAAGTTATTCAAAACACAATCAAGTGGAGTTCCTTCTGTGGACTGTGAGGAACCCATAATTTTAGCCTGTGAAAATGCAAAAGGCACACAGAGCAAGCAGACAGACAACAGTAAACAGACAAAGACAAACTTTGGCCAAGTAAAACCTCTGGGGCTGAATGGGTATGGACCCCAACCCAGTGAGTCTGCTTGCCATCACGAAGAGACTCTAGATAGGGGAACCTGTGCTGCATCCAGCTTCCTCCCATCTACCCACAGTGCACTAAAAATCATTCAATTCTTACCTCTAGAGGCTTTCCCAATAAACTCCTGTGGGTTGGTTGTTCGGCGATAGGGCCTGACTGGGACCGGCCTACCCGGAGCCCCGGAATACCATCAGGGTGGCCTCTCCTTCCACAGACTGGTGTCCAGAGGGGCCAGACACCACCAATGTTCAATCCTGGTCTCTCCTAAAAAGAAACAATGGCTCCAAGATAATAAGTTCCAGAGCAGCTGGCTATCTCGCTGGGGCCTCCAAGAATGTTAGACCCATTGAGAGAGAACCAACCAGAGAATGATATTAAATCCACACAGGAGTTCATTACTGGCCAGGACCTGAGCTGAGCATTGGACTCGAGCCCCGACTGGGGGGAGACAAACATGTTTTATACACCTTTGAGGCCAACAGTTTTGAGGCCCCCCCTATGGGAAAGAACTACTAAAGCAAGGGAAAGGTGCAGAAGTGGAACGTCCTGCTGTTAGAACATTTGTAAAACAATAGTTGATTGTTATTTCTAAAAGGACTTTCTAAGGGGAGGAGGTTTCTAAGCTTCCTCCTTCTGAGTTCATCTAAAGGACAGGCAGGTGGGTCAAGCAGCAATATGGAGTCTGTCTTGCTAACTAGGGTCCTTCACCCAGTACCACAAAACAACATATAAATGTATGTATTAGTAAAAGTTAAAGGTGTTTGGGGTTAAAAGTTAAAGAACATTGGTATGAGTACATATAGGTACAAGGGCCTGTCAATATTCCAGTCGACAATCTGGCCAGTTGCCTTTGAATCTACAAATCTGTTCACTCTTGAAATGAGTTCCTCAAATTAAACATGGGTACCCCCTCCTCCCTTCCATCTCTCTTCCAAGTGAGGCCTGGGCTTGCCCTCCCCACCCTGGCATCCTGCTGGGCATGGTCCCAGGAGGTTCCAGAGTCCTGTCCTGTCCTACTAAGCTGTGTGAATCAGATGGGGCAGTGGCTTTCCCTTCTGACTGCCTGCTCCTCATGGCTCCCAGGAAATGGCACTTCTCTTTTTGCTCTTGCGGAAATTCCAATCCTCAGCTTGTGTCCCCAAGGCCAGATTTGGTTCTAAAGCTGTGAGGAAGTGAAAATGTCCAGCTCTGGAATAACAGTGCTAGCTGGCTTGGTTTGTGGTGAAAGTACCTAGCCTTTTGGGACCTCAAGTTTTCTTTATTGATAGTTCTGGTTGGGGGTACTTTTATGTTTTCTCTCTCCTTGGAAAAATACTTAACAAAAAGAATAATTAAGAGTTTACTGCTCCTAGCCAGGCTTGGTGGTGCACACCTATAATTCTAGCACAATTTAGCAAATTTGGAAGACCCTGTCTCAAAAAAAAAAAAAGTGTGGGGGTTGCTAAGCATGTAGATTAGAACAAAGGCCCTTGGTTGACTCCCCAGTACTGAAGAAAGAAAAGAGTTTACTGTTTATTTACCAATGCTTCTGTGCCTCAAATACAAATCACCTAATAGAAAGTTCTGAGCATGAAGTTTCCCAGTTGTCAAATCAGGGATGACCAGGTCACATGATCCAAGGTTGGCCTCTTACCTTTGAGGCACCACACAGTGGTTTTTCTCACAAAGTGACTGTATGGTGACAGGAAAATTGAGGCATCTCAGCAAAACCAGCACACTATGAACATTTTAATTTTAAACTTTATGAATAGGTAATATGTTTTCATAGTTCAGTGTTTTAAGGATATAAAAATGCACACAGTGCGAATGCACTCTCCTACTTTTTTTTTAAACTCTGACCCTTCTTCTTCCAAGTAAGCAAGCTACATTATCATATATGGGTTTTTTGGTGCTGGGGATCAAACCCAGGTCCTCATGTATGCTAGGCAAATGCTCTACTAGCCAACATTAGACCCCCAGTGCTAATATTTTCTAATGTATCCTTCCAGAGGTGTTTTATATAAAGAAATATATATGGATTCTTTTCTCCCTCTCTTTTATCAAAAGGAGTCCTATATGAGTATATATAGAACATTCTCATGTGTTTTTGTGACTCTGCTTTATCGTATATCAAAATATACTTAACCAGTTTCCTACTTTTTTTTGGAAAAATAATAATAACCATTTATTAAAGTAGATACAGAACACTTGTTTGCTTAGATTTTAATACTGCTTTACATGTTTTCTGCCTGTGAAACAATCCTTACTATGTTATCAGCCAAAACTTTCAACTGATAACAGATTTATTTATTCACTTGTCAAACATGTAGTTGAAAATCTTGAGGGGGGGAAATACATCAGAGGCATTTATACAGTTATAGAAATTCTTATTATATATGTGGATGGAAGATAGATTTTATTACTTTTTACATATGCTAGAAGACATTCAAATGAAGATAAATAGATTCTGTTGATAAAACTGTTCTTGGTGCTTGAGGTCCTCTATTTTTTTGTGATAAGAAAATCCATATTATTAATATTGACTTTCTCATCATACATTCATCTAAAAATGGTAAAAAAATGGTAGAAGAAGATTGTAGATTGGTTTATTTAGGTGTTTCATAGTGGCTTAATTCACTGCTGGGGATATGTGCTAGAGAAGGAAAAAAAATGGAGAACATCTTTTCAGTTATTTAGATCTGGTAAAAAAAAAAAAAAAGAAAGAAACAAAAAATAGTTGTAAAGCCACATGATGCTATTTCTGGCCTAGTCTGTTCTGTCCTGGTCATCATTTTAGGTGTTTTCTTTTTCACAGTAAAAATCTGAAAAGAAAGACACGTTGTGTTTTTTCACCAGTTTTCTATTAATGAACATTTAGGTTGCATTTAGTCTCTCACAGAGCTGCAATGCATAGGTTTGTAAATAAGTAAAAGATCTTTTAAGGCTCCACTGCCCTTCTACATGTCCCTCGGGAATTACTAAATGAGGGTCTAGAGATGCCTTAGAAATCAGCAAATATAGAATTCAGGAGACAGATTTGATGAACCTGGAAACTTGGAAGGGAAAAAGTTTTCATTTTTATATGCACTAACGTCTAACTGGAATTTAACATTTCCTTCTACTATAAATGGAGGCAACAAATTCACAGTACTTAGCAGTATTTGCAACTCTCTTAATCATATGATTGAAGATATCTTGAAATATCAGTTACTCTCATCCCTACCTTGTCATTGTGGAAGTTATTAGATTTTCTATTAGATTTGGTTATGTTATGTATTAATAAAGAAGCACACATATTGTGGTAGCACACATTTGTTTTTCTAAAAACTTTTATACTTGTATTTCAATGTAAATGCTTTGCTTTGTAATTATATGCATTTTTATTGTGGTAAACTATACATAACACAAAACTTACCATTTTAAGTAACTAAAGTACAGTTCAGTGGCAGTAAGTGCATTCACACTGTTCCACACCATCACCACCATTCACCTCCAGAACTTTTTTTATCTTACCAAATGGAAACTCTGTACCCACTAAGCAATAACTTCTCATTAGTCATTGTATCCAGCCCTGGGAAACCATCATTCCATTTTCTGTCTTTATAATTTTGATGACTTCAGATACCTCATATGAGTGGATCTATACAGAATTTGACTTATTCATTTAGCATAATTTCTTCAAGTTTCATCCTTCAAGTAATTGGCTTTTTCACTTAATATAACCTTCAAGGTTCATCCATGTTGTAGCATGTGTCAGATTTTAATTTAATTTTAAGACTAAATAATATTTCATTGTATGTATATGCCACGTTGTGTTTATTCTGTCATCCATCCACAAACATTTGTGTTGTTTCCACCTTTTTGTCCATTAGGAATAATGCTGCTATGAACATTGTTGTGCAAATGCTGTTGCTTACGGGTGTATACTCACGTGAAATTGCTGGATCGTATGGTAATCTTATGATTTTTTAAATAATAGGTATTTATTTTTATGCATCGAAAATGATTCTGAGATAAGCATACCAAAAGACCATTACACACGCTTAAAAAAAAAAATGCTTGTCCTGGCCACTAGATGGGGGGACTTCTTAACAAGGGCTGCGTCATTCCTTGTACTCCTACTAACTCTCCCAGAGGAGTAGTAAGTGCAGTCACCGCCTAGTGGGCGCCCTGCGAACCCCACACTGGGCAGAGTGCAAAAAGTATAAGGGTGTAGAAGATACCCTAAGAAGACCTCAGCCTAGAGGGAGAGTTAGGTCTTAACGTGACCAGTTAAAGGCATCCCAACTCCTGAATGCTTGACTTTTTAGATGTGTGATATCCTTTAGCCCCAGCTTAATCATTATCTGACCAATTTCCTCCATAAAGAGAGCCTAGCCTTTAGCACAGCTCATGGCACATGATAGGAACTCAATAACTTTGTCTCCGTTACCAGAGACAGCAAGAGAAAGCTTAATGTAAACCTATATTCCGAGCCACTGTAAGGATGCCTCCTTTCCGTCTCTGCTGACTGTCTCTTGTCCCGCAGGCAGCAGCTGCCCGCAGTCCCCTCGGTGGATCTAGGAATCTGGACCTCCACGCCGGCAGGTGGCGTTAGTGCGCACGTTGCCGGGAGGGGCGCTCGGGCCGAGCTCCTCTCGGCGGCGCAGCGCATTCGTCAGTCCGCGGGGCGGGCACTGGGAGGTGGCGGCGGCGTTGGCGGTGGTGACTCTGTGTCGCTGGAGCCAAAGACCGCAGGCCCGTCCCGGCTCCCGGGGGCGGGCAGGGTGGGGGCGCCATGTGGTTCATGTACGTGCTGAGCTGGCTGTCGCTCTTCATCCAAGTGAGCTTCATCACGCTGGCCGTCGGTGAGAGTGCGCGGCGCGGGCTCGCGCGGGCTCCCGCCCCGGCATCTATACTTGCCCGGGGTCGCTTCTCGGGGTGTCCGGAGACAGTCGGGGATCCCTGGGCGGCGGCTCCTGGCTTCACCTCCCAGCCTGCCACGTCTTGCCCCTGCTGCTGAGCCCAGCAGCCTAGCCTGTTCGTGGGTCCTGCCAGATGTCACAAAGTCTGCCCAACAGTACCCGGGAAAGGTTGACTTGAGTGCCCTCAGCGCCCCTGCGAACTGCCAACCGCTCTCTCGCTGGCGGCCCCACCGCGCCGATCTTTCCCCCCACACCTACTGCTGTCCTTTCCCTCCTGGCCATTTGTACTTGCTGCTCTCCGCCTTTGACACTTTCCCCACATCAGGCTGGTGCCTACTCTATCTTAATTGAGGTCTTACCTCCTCGGGGAAGCCCTCCGTAGAGGTCTGATGATGGTGCAGCAGTGCCCTGTACTTGTCCTAAAGTAGCGTTCTCCTGGGGATTGTCTGGTTCCCTGCTTCCCATCCCCCTCCTCAAATTGGGTCAGGGAGAAGAGCCTTGTCTGTTTTGTTCTGCTGTATTCTCACCACTTGGCCCAGCACCTGGCCCATACTAAGTGCCTCGCAGGTATTTATTGAATAAGTGGATGAAATAGACTTTCTGGGCCAGAGGTGAACATTGTTTTGAGGAGTCAAAATGCAGACTTCCATTCATTTTGCCCTGATAAAGTTCCCCTTCTCCAGACATATAAAGGCAACACATGGTTTCTTGGGAATGACCAGGATGATGGGAGTAACCTGAGCTGATATTCTCCCTGCTTGCACTTTTCACCATCCCCCAGCTGCTGGACTCTACTACCTGGCAGAACTGATAGAAGAATACACAATGGCCACCAGCAGAATCATAAAATACATGATCTGGGTAAGTGGCCGCTTTCCCCAGGATTTCCCTCACCTTTGGCCCAGCCTCAGGAAGAGAAGGTGGGAAGAGTTTGGCCTGGATAGTGAGAGCCGGGTCTCTGCTGTTGCCTGAGGGTATCACTACTACTCCCCTGCCCTGTACTTTGTCTTTTGGGTCTGCTTTCGTGGGCCTAGATCTTTCCAGGCCTCCTTTCCCAATGGCACTGCTTCCCTGCAATCCTTTTTCTCAGTTGCTTAAGGTAACAGCCTAGTCTATGTTCTTGTTGACAGGCCCATGGTTTTGCCTTTGCTACCTTCTTTTCCATTGGCTCTGGCCCCTTGCCCTGCTCCCAGCATTTAGAATTTAGTGGAACCTAAGGACAGATTTTTTTTTTTTTTTTTTTGGTACTGGGGATCGAACTCAGGTCCTTGCACTTACAAGGCAGGCAGCAGAACCACTGAGTTAAATCCCCAGCCCTGAGCACAGTTCTGAATGCTTTTTCATTGCCCTCTTTCTATTTGGATTTAGTGATTTTTCCCTAAGGGTAGCACCTCCCTTGGCCCCAGCCCTGGCCTCAGGGGAGGCGTCTATTCCTGAAGATTTATCATTGCCATTAATGTCAAGGGCCCAGGAGCGACTGCTGGTGGACACATTTCTGCCAGCTGCATGTGTCTCTTGGGGTGACTGTGTAAAAAAAAATTTTTTTTTTTTTTTACTTTACTGTGGGCTGTTGTCAAAATTTTGAGAAATGCATTTAAAGATGCTGTCCTTTGGGAGCCGAGAGTCTAGCTGGGAGACCCAGGGCTGGGACTAGGAAACAAGGAGATTGAAGCATGAACCTAGTGCTGCCCAGAGCAGGGTGGGGTTAGAGTCTGGGCAGCAGCCTGGAAGGGCTCTCTGCACTGTGTCTGGTTGTTTCAGTTCTCCACGGCTGTGCTGATTGGCCTCTACGTCTTTGAGCGCTTTCCCACCAGCATGATTGGTGTGGGCCTGTTCACCAACCTCGTCTACTTTGGCCTCCTGCAGACCTTCCCCTTCATCATGCTGACCTCACCTAACTTCATCCTGTCGTGTGGTGAGAGGGGGCAGAATGGGGAGGGGGGCAGCTCACGTGGTTGGATGTACCTAGCTCAGTCCTGGGCACTGAAGGGGATACAGAGGAGGAGGCAGGCCACTGAGGTTCTCCAGGAGGTTTGGAATACAGGCTTCTCACTCATGAGGACCCTAGAGCCTGCCTTGACCACGGTGCTTAGAATTTTGGGGGTTTGGGGGGGTCTCAGATTGGGAGGACTTTCCCAAACAGGGAAGTTTGAAGAAGGATTTGGGAAGAGAAAATTGGTTATGGGTTGGTGGAGGGAGAGGCCCCACTGAGCAGTCCCAGCCTGAAAGAAATCACTTGGCCCAAAAAGCCTGAAGCCCTTCCTTGGCAGGTGGGTGGCTTCCATCCAGCCCACAGTCATGATCAAGACTGGAGCTTCAGGTTGTTGTGAGGCTGCTGCAGATGCTGGCCTGGTGCAGATGCCTCCTGGGGCTCCTTTTTCTGGTTCTATTGTCAGTGGTTGCAGCTGCCTCAGGGCTGAGGACCCCAACCTTCTTGCCTTGGTCCTGCCACCACAGTGGACTGTGAGAGTCCAGTGACTGGGCCTTAGCTACTCAGTCTGTTCAGAGGTGGTGTTTCTGACAGGACTGTTGGGAGACTCAGTTGGCACATGGTAGGTGATTGTAGATGTTTGCATATGTTCATAGAGAAGGTTTCAGAAAATACTTGTTCACAAGGTTTGCTGTTTCTCCTGCTCATCATTACTGGGTGTCCTAGCCTTGGGTCAAGATATCAAATAGAATTAGGGGTGTTTTGGAGCTACTTTTTTATTTTTGTAGGAGAACCTAGAAAGAGAATATTCACAAGAAAAGCATAATGTTAAAACTAGGACTGGGTCCCTTCCCTGAATGCCTTGTTGTGATTTCACCATAGAATTTTTTTCAGCAGGGCTGGGCACAGTGGTGCGTGCATACCTGTTATCCCACCTATTTGGGAGGCTGAGGCAGGAGGATCCCAAGTTTGGGGACAGCATGGGCAACTCAGCAAGACCTTGTTTCAAAATAAAAAGGGCTGGAGATATAGCATGGTGGTGTCACATTTTCCTAGCAGTCACAAACCCCTGATTCAATCCCTAGTACTACAAAAAGGGAGGGTGGGTAGCTTGTAGGAGTCCTTCTCTAGAGACCAGGCCCTTTCTACATCATCCCAGGGAGAACCTTCCCACCCCCTGGTGGCAAGCTCCCTGGCTTCCCTTTGTCATTCCCTCAGCCTGCCATTTAGATGCCTGACTGAGAGAGCTTCTCTGAAAGATCTAGTGGGCCCCAGGCACCACCCTACCTTATGTTTGTCTTAGCCTTAGCTGTGGCTAGATGCAACAGAGGTATGGTCTTTGCCTTAGAAGGAGAGGCAAGAAGGGAGAAGAGAGACACGGCAACTGCTGCGAGTTATGTGTGTGTGGGGGGGTTCAGGTTCAGGGAACACATTCTTTCTGGTGCCTGCTCTTCACCCCATCATGGAACAGGCAGGGATGCCTGCCTCGGAGCAGCCTGTCCCTCCGATCTGCCTGCTTACTTTTTCATAAACTTGGTTGCACACTGAGGAGGTATGTGTGGGACCAGAACATGCCAGTTCAAACTAGTTGCCTTACCCTCAGTCAGGATGGAGAAGGAACCCTCCCCAAATTCTGAAGAATCCTAAACTATACCTCAGAGTGTCTGCAAACACTCCTTTATTTGAGGAGGTCTTTTCCCTGTGGCCCAGTTTGGAGTGAAATGTCTTATACTGGTCTGGTTTGTACACCCATGATGTCCTCCAACTATTCCTCATGGGAAAGCTTTTGTTGATTGATTGAGACAGGGTCTCACTTAGTTGCCCAGGCTGGGTTTGAACTTGTGATCCCCTGCCTCAACCTCCCGTAGTGCTGGGATTACAAGCACTGCCACATCTGGCTGAGAGAGCTTGCTTTGGGACTCAAATTCAATAAAAACCAGTTCATTGGGCCGGGGATTTAGCTCAGTGGTTCTGCCGCCTGCCTTGCAAGCACAAGGTCCCAAGTTCGATCCCTGGTACAAACCAAAACAAACCAAACCAAACCAGTTCATTGTCGTTATGCTTTGGATTATATAACACAGAAGTCTCATTTTTATAACATTCCATAGCTTTCTTTCCTCCCTTCTAATTTTACTCATTATGCCCTCTGCAGTGAGCAGGTTGGAGCTGATTCTCCCACTTTGACAGGTGGGGAACTAAGTTCTAAACAGTAGTGTACTGGCCCAAAGCCATAATCTTTTTTTGGGTGCAAAGTCAGGAGTAAGGGCTCCCAATTCCCAGGGCCTTTTGAGGTTGAAAAGTCTAGTTATGTCATTCCCTCAAACTGACTGACTCTTCATTCCCTTAACAGGATTAGTGGTGGTGAATCATTATTTAGCATTTCAATTTTTTGCAGAAGAATATTACCCTTTCTCAGAGGTAAGCAGTGTCCAGAACATGCAACTAGTCCTGGGAACAGGGGAGTAATGGGGACTTGGATGATTTGCATTATAAGCTCAGCCATAATCTGAAACTAAGTCTACTCAGAGATCATGTCTTGAACAAAATGAAACATGATATGGATAGTTTTTGAAAGCAGTGTGGCTAAGGAAGGGGCTAGAAGGGGTCCCCTAGGCTGAGGTGGAGAGGACACTGCTTTCCCCTAGTAAGTTTTTTGAGTCCCAAATGGGGTTATGTTGAGGTCAGAAGAAATCCTGCTCTGGCTTGTCTGACATAGATCTCACAGGACAGGTGTGGGCTTTCCTCCCAGCGTTTCTCCTCATTTAGGCCTTCAATTTGAAGCCCCAGCAAAGAACAGGATCACTTTTTTGGAGAGAGTAAGGCACAGTCAGTCATTGTCCGCTTCTACCTTTCCCCATTGAATTATCTTTGTGTCTGAGAATGCCCTGGCTTTGCGGAGATGAGGGGCAGTATGTAACCTAACCTCACCCACCTGTCTAAGACCCCAGGTGACCACACCCAGCCCATTCTTGGTGCCTCTCTCATTGCCAGGTCCTGGCCTATTTCACTTTCTGCCTGTGGATAGTCCCGTTTGCATTCTTTGTGTCACTCTCGGCTGGGGAGAATGTCCTGCCCTCCACCATGCAGCCAGGAGGTGAGACGGGGTTTGTGATGGGCCAGGTGGGGGACACCTGCAAGGCCTGAGTCATCCAAGGGAACCAGAGTCCAGCCTTGTGATGAGATACTGGGCCGCTGGGTGGGGAGAGCTGTGTACACACATGCACTCATCTCATATGCTCGTCTCCCTGCCTGTGTCTCCACAGATGATGTGGTCTCCAATTACTTCACCAAAGGCAAGCGGGGAAAACGCTTAGGGATCCTGGTTGTCTTCTCCTTCATCAAAGAGGCCATTCTACCCAGTCGTCAGAAGATATACTGACCCCCTTGGGGAGGGAATGTGGGGCAAGATCAGAAGTCAGGCCCCCTGGGCCTCTGTGCTAGGTAGGGGCCAGGCCTGGAAGTCCCCTTCCACCAGCCCTGGTCTCCCTCCCCTTGGTCCTGAAGCCCTATCCCCACCCCCCTTGGGGGCTTAGCTTGGCTCGGACCTGATGCTGCCAGGGGCTGTAACCTCATGGGACCAGGGAGGTGGCAAAGCCTCCTTAGCCAGGTGGCCTAGTTCCCTAGCCTCCTCTCCCTCTCCCAAGGAGGACTGGGAGTTTCAGGCTCAGCCAGAGGAGCCAGGGCAGGGTCCTTGAAGCTGGAGAACAGCCGGTGACAAGTTCCTTGGGCAGGTGATTATAGGGAGGGGACATAGCTTGGCACTTCCAAGAGAAATGGTTTTTGCTATTTAACTGTGATTTTTGTCCAATTGCTGATTCCTGTTTGAATAAAGATTCTAGGTGGCACTGTTTGCCTTAACATCCCAAAAGTTCATCTTCCTTCTTCTTGCTTTCTGCCTGGAGTGGACTAGGTTTCTGCTCCAGGGACTCCTCTCCTAGGTCTGGGTCTTGCCCTTCTGAAGGACTCTTGTCCTCATTGGGAGGGGGCAGAGATGAGTAGAGCCTGGGTGGAGTGTGGGGGATGGGACAGTAGCGGCCTTTCTTATGCACCTCCCTCTTCTTCCATCTCTTCTTTTCCCAAGGCTCTGTGGCTGTCAAGCTAGAAGTAGGAGAGGAGACAGTTTAGGATTGGGTTAGATTTTCAGAAGAACATCTACCGTATTCTATTTATAAGTCTTCCTCTGAGGAAAAGGAATGATTTCTGGCTGAATTCTATCTCAGGCTTAAAAAAAAAAAAAACCAGCTTCCAGGCAGCCTGGGTCTAGACTGTTTTTTATGAAATGAGGTTGGTAAGAGAGGCTATTTGTCACTCTAAGAGCACACAAGGTCTGGCACTCTGTTCTGTGTGCTTCTGGCTCCTGGGGAGATGATCTCTGCCTTCCAAGAAGGCAGGCCAGGGCTCAGGCACAGACCAGCATTTGTTGACCTTGCACTCCAACTCTAGTGCCTTGCAAGTGCTCAACAGTACATATTGGAATGACGTCCTCATGAGAGCCATCGCTGGCCATGTACTATACCTCACAGTGAGGCTGGCAGGTGCAGGATGCACTATACACCTGTGGCAACTTTAAGTCACTGGGAAGACCCCTGTGCTTCAACATCTGTAAATCATGCCTGAGATCCCATCATAGCCCTTTATTTCCTTGGCTTTAGCATTTCTGTTCTCTTAAGAATACCAGCCTCCCCCTCCCTGGGAGGATTGGCACATTTGGTCTTTTGATGCAAGTGAGATTGCCAGCCCTGTTCTGCTCTGCAGACAAGTAGAGGACATGAGGCCAGTGTCTTCACCGATGGGCTGGCAGCTGGTTCTAGTCTCCCTTGCTGTCCACTTTGTTCCTCACCCTGATGAGGTGGCTTTGCCCTTGTGTTCACTCTGCTGCTGGTCAGTGCTCTCCCAGGGATGGCCAGGGGCCCTCACATGCTAAATCCAGCAGATTCTCCAGACTATCCTGCCGGATCTCAGCAGTAGCTGACATGTTTATCCCTCTTGCTTCTCAAATTGTGCTTCCCTGGCTCTTCTGTGGCGCTGGTTGTCCCTCTGTCTCTAGCTGCTCCTTTCAGTCTTCTTTTCTTAGGTTTCTCTGCTTACCATGCACGCTGGGGCCTCTCAGGGTTCTGTTGTGGGCTCCCTGGGAACCCCATCCATGCTGATGGCTTCAGGGACTCTGCTGTGGAACCGAGTGTTGACTGCTAGCTGCAGCATCCCTCCTGATCTGAATCACAGTTCTGCTGCCTTCTGGGCCCACAGACAACTCAGATTCATGGTACTTTTGCTGTCCTCTGCAAACCTGCCTGCCTCTTTAGGGTACCTGCCTAGGCCATTCCAACACTCAGGAGACAGGAAACTTGATCTCAAATTCCTGCTTTCTCTTTCTACCCCCACATCCAGTCTCTAAAAACTCTCAAATCTATTTCCTTGACATCTCTTAGTTTGAACCACCCTCATTATCATCAGCTTTTAGCTGGTTTGTTCTGATAGCCCCCTGCTGCTTCTCTATCCCATGGCCAGCCAGAGTTGTCTTTCAAAATGCATAACTGATCAAGTCACTCTCTGGCCTAATACCTTCCATAGCTCCCTAGTGCCTTTAGGATAAAGTCCCCAGACCCTTTAGCATGTGGGTCTCTGATATCCCGGTCCCTTCTCACCTCTGGTCTCATTTCCTCCTTGCACTCTGGGTCCTAGCCTCCTGTAGGCAGAAATACCATGGCTCACTCTCACCATTTTGATTCCCTTTGCTTTCACTCACTGGTACTTTCTCTGTCAGGTCTCAGTTTAGATTTTACTTCCTCCAAGGAGCTTTGAATGTCCCTTCTCCTTCTCTAGCCCCAGCACACCACACAGATCACTTTGGGCTTACTTGCCTGCTTAATAATCTGTCTCTCCACTAGACTGTAAGCTCCTTGAGGGCAGGGACTGTCCTTGGAATTTTTGTATCAACAGTGCCTGGTTTGGCACCTGGCACATAGAAAACACTCAATAAATGTTTGTTTAATGAATGAACTGTAATGTGTATGAGGGGATTACAGGTGACCCCGGATAGCTTCCTGGAGGAAGTATGGGAGCTTTCATAGTCTCACATCAAAACTGCAGATCTTCCCTCTCCCCAGATGTGCTGCCTGTGCTTCCTTGTGGAAACTTCAGTAGCAGCTGGGAGTAAGAAGTGGTGGTCCACAGTAGCAGGGAATTGCTTGCGAGGGTGACATAATAGCTTTCCTCCACCCAGTCTGGATCTGCAGATGAATACCGAGGAAGCTGGGCATTATGGTGTACACATTAATCCCAGCACTCTGGGAGGGTGAGGCAGGAGAATCCTGAATTGGAGTCCAGCTTGGGCAGTTTAGCTACTTAGTGAGATCTTGTCTCAAAAGCCCCCAAACATAAAAACAAAAGAGGCTGGGGATCTAGATCCATATAAAGGCCCTGGATTCAGTCTCCAGTACCAGAAAGGGTCGGGGGAGGCTTAGAGCCTACAGCAGAAAAGAACTTAATTTGAACAAGAGGCAGAATGTCCAGGGGTCCTTTCTTCTTGGATGGGTGGGGTAGAAGTGAGGAGGCAGTGGGGAAACAGTGTTACTTTTACATTGTTAGGGCCTAGAATAGTGATGGCACCCATTCTCAACCTTGAAGCTCTTCCCTGTTGGATTCTTAGGGGAGCCAAGATATTTTGCAGAGAAAAGGGAGGCCTGGGGTCTGGGCTTTGGTGGGGCAGATAGATCCTGTCCTGGAGCTTGGGAGCGGGAAGCCCATAGGCAAACCTCCCCCTTTTCTCCACAGCACGAATCAACACACTTCAGCCTTCACTGGGCAGCCTCCGGAATAGGCGCTACCCAAATACCTTTATAAGGCGGCTGGAGAGGAGGGCAAGGCAGCGAGCCCTTGATGAGCTCGCATGGTCGCCAGGAAGGCTTCATCAAATGTCTCATGCAGGTTCATGGCCATAGTGTCAGTCCAGAAGGTGTCCTGGCTCAAGTGCCGCCTCTGGGGTACATCCAGTATGCTCTTGACATAAATCCCCTGGGGCACCTTCATCCTGTGTGGCCGCACCCCAGGGTGCAGCATGCAGACCATCACCTCAAAAGGGAGCTGGGGTACAGGTGCCACCCAGTGACTATCCACCGTGCGCAGTTGTGCACTACCATGTGGGTTCCGGGTCACCTCCACGAAGCCGCAGAAGTCGTGCTCCTGGCAGGGGTCTGAATGAACACCTAGACGGCTGTCCTGTGGGCAGCTGATGCTGAGGGGCTGGGATCTGGTAGGGTTATTGCTAAGATTCCACAACTTGGGCTGACTGATTTTAGGCTGGGTGTAGACTGGCTTGGGTGGCACCCTTGGCTGAGGCATGCTTTTCAGGCGGGCCTCCACGAAGCGGTAGAAGCTCTTGGAAATCTGGGATCCTGGGGTCTCAGAGAGAACAATGGGGCAAGTTGGGGCACCAGGCTCTTGCTTAGGGTTGGAGACCGGTGATTGAAGCAGCTTTCGATGGAGCCACTTCCTGAAATCAGCCTCTCTCAGAAGTTGGTGTTCTTTCTGCAACAAAAGACACACAACTGTGGTGGAGACCTGCTCCTATGTATATGTGGAATGAGGCTTTGCGGCTGTAGTCCTTGGAAACCTCAGGCCTAACTGGTAAGACACTGCCCTTGCTACAGGGACACCTAAATTTGACAAGAGGAACACCTACCTTAATAGGAGCCCTTGTTCTGATGGAGAAGACAATTCTTGCCTTAAGGAAGCTCCTGGACTGATGGGGAGACAAAGCCTTTTCTATAGGGGAGCCTCCCCCTGATGGGGGAAAATACAGCCTCTTCAGCCAGGGATTTAGCTCAGTGGCGCCAAGCCTGCCCCGAAGCGCAAGGTCCTGAGTTCAATCCCTGGTACAAAAAAAAAAAAAAAAAAAATACAGCCTCTGACCTAGGGGAGCCTCCAGCTGGAGCAAGGAGACACAATCTCCACCACAAGGAAAACACATCTTATGGGGGAAAAAGTTCCCTCCCCGAGAGGAAGCCCCAGTCTGATATATCCTTCCATACAAGAGTCTCTGGTTTAATGGGGTAACAAGCAAATGAGAAGTAAAACCCTGGAAAGACAAAGTAGAAGGGTTTGGAAGGGCTAGAATTGGGTAGAGCTAATCTGGACAGGTTTCTTGGAAGCAGTGGTCCCTTACTATATACTATATGATTATATATATACTATATGACTATATACTATATGACTCCCCTAGTCATATAGAGGAGGATACAGTCAACTGGCTGGGAGGCAGTGACTGCTGAACTCTGTCCTTGCCTCCACTGGAATTGAACCTTCCTCCTGTCCCAGAACCTTCTTACCCTGTTTATCTCAGTGTCTTACCCCCAGACTGTTGCTAAGCAATCAGATGCTTTGGAGATTGACCTAGCTTCAGGGTGGCTCTGATCAGGCTAAGCCAATCCTAATTCCATCAACCTTGCCCCACACCTAAGACAAATGAGCAAATGGCTTTCCTTTACTTCTGGTCATTGGAGAAAGAATGGACACATGATTGAGGCCAACAAGAGATTCCCTGAGTGGAGAACTGCAAGGGAAGGGAAAGGACTGCAGGAAACAGATTGGCTCTGCTTCCTCTGGGCTTTTGTGTGGCCATGGGGGCTGGGTGACACAGACAATGAGGAATGTAAGGAGAGAAATGCAGCTGGCATAGGGAGCTGGAGTAGTGGAATAGTAGTAGGACCCTGAAGCCGTCCCCATTTTGGGATCCGCTTATAATTCCCAGCATTTTTCTGGGCTTTCTGTTTTTTGCATCCTGTGTAATTATACCTGTTTAAAATCCCCTCTCTCCCAGAGTACTTCATTGATCTGGACCCCTGCCAAATCTCTGATTTGTTAATCTCCAACTCACATTTGGTTGCCATCTGTTCTCTGTGTATATCATGTTCCTGTATGCTCCTGTGCCTTTCCTCACAGCTATTCCCTCTGCCTGGTCAGCCTTTCCCTACCTCTTCATATGGCCAACTGCTGCCCATCTTCAAAGACTCCTCCTAAGCCTCCCTTCCGGCACCACCTAGACTCCCACAGGAATGTAACCTGCTTCCTTACTAGACTCTAAGCAACAGGAGTGGGGACCGCACCCTGCTTGTCTGGCAAGTACCTAGTGAGGGCTAAGTATCCACTGGGAAGGAGGATGAATCTTCTTTTTATCCCATAGTATTGCAGATTAAATCCAGAACCTTCACACTGAGCTACATCCCCAGCCCCTTTTATTTCATTTTTGTTTTCCCTTTTTTTGGTACCGGGGATCGAACTCGGGACTTTGCGCTTATGAGGCAGATGGAGAAACCACTGAGCTAAATCCCCAGCTTCATTTTGTTTTTAATTTTGAGACAAGGTCTCACTAAGTCACAAAATTACCCAGGCTGGGCTCCAACTTGCAATTCTTCTGCCTCAGCTCCCCAGAGTCCTGGGGTTATAGGCAGCCCAGCCTTGCGCCTTTTTAAACTTTAATGTGAATCCCAGTGATAAAAGGGGCCTGGTTTTATTAGAGATTCTCTGTCCTTTTTTTTTTGGTACTGGGGATCGAATTCAGGTCCTTGTGCTTTTGAGGCAGGTGGCAGAACCACTGAGCTAAATCCCTGGCCCTTATTAGAGATTATCATCAGGAAGCAAGGTAGTACACCTGGCTCGTGATTACTTTTTGATTTGTTATGTTTGCTTTCTGCCATAGGACAATACTTGTGACCTAAAGTGGCTCATAAGGGAGGAATTTTAGCAGAGTACTGGGGAGTGGGAGGTTCTTCCTGGGTTTGAGTGCTTCTAGCTACCCTTCTCACAACCGTGGGTTCCTCCTCTGCTCACAAGTCTGAATAGTAGATGGCGCCTGCTCTGCCCACTCCCCCTTACTTGATACTCAAGCAGGTAGTTATGCTCCATGAGTGTCAGCTGGTCCTTGAGGCGCTTCAGTTTCCTCATCTCACAAGCAAAATCCTTCTTGTCCTGTTTCCACATGGCATCTTTCAAGAACCTGACACCAAGGAGGGGTGTATCATCCTACAGAGGCTGAGCTTCCATGTGGGCTGGGAAGACTGGTGAACCTGAGGGCCTGGATGGGATGGGAGGTGCTGCTGGAGGAGGAATGAGCAAGATGGCCCATCCCCATTGTCGGGGTTCTTTGGCTAACTACTTCCTTTGAGGGGAAAGAGGAATGTGATGGCCTGGGCACTGTCCTCCTGCTGAGGAGCCAGGGGCCCCAGGGAAAAGGAGGACAGTGTTCAACCTAAAGGAGCAAGACCTGGCAAAAGCCCTGCCAGTAATGTCCTGGGCAGGGGTCCTCCTCAGCAGGCTTGTCCCTTTGTCAGCTGGTTACCCAGACCCAGCCTTGGGTGAGGACCCCGGGGAAGGGGTGAGAGAGGGGCTGGGAAAGGCGGAGGGGTGGCAGGCTGCAGGTGGTGCTCACATCCTCACCGGGCACAGGCACGGTGCTTCCATATTTTGCAGAAGTCGATGGGCTTGCAGCCTGTGGCATTTTGGGCATGGACATTGGCACCACTCTGTACCAGGGTCTTCATGCAGCCCAGCAGGCCTTCTGGGGCTGCCAGGTGCAAGGGTTGAAGCCGTTGCCTGTCTGACTGTAGGACCCCACCAGGAGGGAAGAGGGCAGAAAGGAAGGACAAGAGCATTTACTCATCAGATAGGTGGACAAACCAGCTTCCAGACCCCACTCTGCCACCTGTTCACTGGATGACCCTGGCCATCTCTCTGGCCTTCTCTGGACCTCAAATTCCTATGAGAAAAATCTGACTGTAGGAGGTATGTGACAAGTAAAAACTGCTGGAAGGAGAGCTGGGTTGGTTCAGAAGCCACTAACCTAACCTCATGTATTCTTTTTTTTTGGTACCAGGGATCGAACTCGGGACCTTGCACTTGCAAGGGAGGCAGTGGAACCACTGAACTAAATCCTCAGCCCTGGCCCCCTCATCTATTCTTAAACTGGCCCCTTCCTCATGACTTGCCATGGCCCACAAGGTCCAAAGATCTGGACCCTGCCTCTTCCTTGACCTCCTCTGACTTTGCCACTCTCCTTCCCAAACATGCCCTTTGATATAATGCCCCTCTGCCTGGAACACATCTCCCTGGCTCTTTGCATGGCTGGCTCCCTTAGTCTCCAAGTTGCAATTTAAATATTTCCTTAGAGATGATTGCCTATTTTCCAAAACAGATCCTTCTCCTGCCTTTTTGCTCCCACCTCATCACCCTGTTTATTTCCTTTCTAACCACTTCCCATGATTTGTCAGAATTTGTTCACTTATTAGTTTACTAATTTATTGCCTATTCCTGCACTAGAATGTTAGCTTTATGAGGGGAAGGAATATATCTGTGTATTTGCTGCTGTACTCTGATTCTGGAACAGTGCTTAGTAGCACATGCTCAGTAAATATTTTGAAAGTTTCTTATATGTCATACATTTTCTCAGTTATCACAGTAGTACCACGTGATAGGTAGTGTCATCCTCCCAAACTTGTTTGCAAACACCCAGGGATCTTTTGCAACTTCCAAAGCCCAGGCCATGCTATAGATCCATTAAATCACAACCTTCAAAATGGAACACAGGCATTGGTATTTTGGAAGCCCCCAGGGGATTCCAATGTCCACATGAGTTTGGAAACCAGATCACCGAGGCTTAGAGGCTGGGTGACTTGTCTAAGGTTCCATTGTCTCCTAACAAGTGGCAAAGCCATGGGCTGGGGATTTAGCTCAGTGGTGCCGCTGCCTGCCTCGCAAGTGCAACGTCCTGAGTTCAATCCCTGGTACTGAAAAACAAGACAAAACAAAACAAACAAACAGCTTTATAATGAGTGGCAAAGCCAGGATGTGAATTGGGTCTGTCCTCTTCCAGAGCCTAATTTCTTGCACACTACACATGTAAGCTCACTCCCTGCTTTATGTGGGACATAATCCCACCCCCACTTCCAGTCCCCAAATGCTCCTCTGCCAGTCCTGCATCTTTCTGCCTGCTTGAGAGCAGAGTTCATGTCTGCCTAGGCTCCAGGCCTCTTTCTAAAAGTAGGCTGGACTCAACTGTTGATGGAGGCCCCCTTCTTGAGCAAGTAGAGAATGCAGGGGACAGCTGTGGTCTTGTTGTCCTTGTGCATGACAAGATGCAAGGGGGTCTGGCTACTGTAGGTGGGCAGGTCCACGGGAACCTTATACTCCTCTATTAAGACCTTCATGCATGTGAACTTGCCCCGCTGGGCTACGAAGTGGATGGCAGTGAACCCCTGCAGCATTCAGAGTGGGGCAGAAGGTGGAACAGCACTGGGTCCCAAGGACTACCACCTAGTCAATATAGCCATTCGTTGGTGTTACCCTACCCTTCTTGCCTGTGCCCAGGGCACTTATATCCCTTCCTACTCCTGGTGTGTGCTCTTCAGCTCACCCTGCCTCCCAGCCCCAAGATGGCCTGGGGAAGGTGAGTCAGGACTATTCACACAGAAGGACCTCTCTGGAAACCCCAGTCAGACCTTCGAAAGGTGACCACTGGGTTGGGGGTTGGGGGTCAGATGATTGACTTAGCTCCTGCCCGCATTCCAAGGCTTTACCTTGCAGTCGCTTTGGATCTCCCTGCGGTCCCGATTCAGACAGAATCGCAGCCATTCCACGTTGCCCACCGCGGCCGCAAACAGCTGGGAGTGGTTCCTGGACGACTCAGAGATGGAGGCGCTGGAGTCCGCGCGGGGCGGGGCGGGAGTGAGCAGGCGAGCGCTGGCCCCTGCCCCCGGCGTTCGAGGCGGCAGTGCCCCCAATCCCTCGCAGCCGGGCCCCCTTCTCCCACCCACCTGGACCGCGTGCTCTCTAGGTCACTTGGGGTGACCTTCAGGAACACTTTCTCCGCCCGCTGCCCGGAGCCAGGCTGCACTCCTCTCCATTCTTCCCCTCCCGGGTCCAGGGTCCTTGTCCGCGCCCTGGCAGAGGCCGAGCACGGAGGCCGAGGGAGTCCGCGGCTGGATGGGGCGGGGAGCGCCACCTGTCGCTCCCCTCGGGGCGTCGTCTTTGCCGCTGGCTGCGCCGCCAGGGCGTCAGGAACCTACCTGGCCCCTCCTGGGCCGCAAAGGTCCCGACGCCACGCTTGCTGGAAGGACAGAACCCGGGCCCCCCAGGACCCCTGCCCGCCACCACCCCGGGGCCAGCTCAGAGCCGACACCCCTGCCCCAGCTGCCGGCACGACTGCCCTGGAAACTCAGCACCTCACTTAGAGTCTGTCCTGATTATATGAGTAGAAAACAGAAATACAGTGTGGAAATTAAAAATCACCGTCTCACCCCTCCCACACACACCGTATACACATAGGTGCATCTTTTCACTTAGCGACACATTATAAGCTAGCCGGATTGTGCACTAACCGCACATTGTGACGTACCCACAGCCCAGCCTCATAATGCATATGCTCACCTGCTGCTGCGGAAAGCGAAACAGCTCCATGCTAGTTGTTGAGGATGGATTTCTGGAAGTAAAATGACCACGTGAAAGGGAATGAGTATTTTCAAGTTGTCCATATGATCTCCAGAGAGGTTTTATATTCACTTTCCCTTTGGGCTGCTGTAAAGTAGGTGCTGGTGCATCACCGCAAGTCAGCACTGTGGCTTTGGGACAGTTAATTGACTTCTGTGCATTACTTTCTGCCTCAGGGAAAATGGGAATCAGCACCTACTTCGAAGGAAGTGAAGGGGTGCAGGGAATGAGATGGTGTTAGACGAGACGCACCATCTACACATTTGCTATTATTTAAAGCAACATCCAAACCATCGTAGAAGTGGGTATTATGATTTTAAATAATTGCTTGCTAACTTGATAGTGGAAATGGTGTTCTAATGTAGCTCTTTGATTAGCAAAGTTTAATTTTTTTTTTCAGTAGTGGAGATTGAACCCAGGGCCTTTGAGCTGAGCTACTTCCCCACCCCTTTAAAATTCAGAGTCAGGAGCTCACTAAGTTGCTAAGTTGCTCAGGCTGTGCTGCAACTTGTGATCCTCCTGTCTTAGCAGTCTGGAGGTCTGGAATCGAAGGAGTGTGCCTCCACCATGCCCAGCTGGGTTAAACATTTAACTATCAGTGTTTTCCTCTTCTGGGAATTATCTGCTTATTCACATTGTTCTTTGAGCATCTTAGTTTTTCTTATTGATCTGTAAAACTTATTAGCATAGCGGTCCTTTATATTTGATGTCAATATTTTCCTCAGTTTGCCTTTTGACTTTTTACTATATCAAGTAACCAAGCAATAACTGTTGTTTATCTTACTACCATCCACGATCTCACTAAGAGGAATGACCTGAAGCTTATCAGCAGGTTTCTGAGACTACAGGGCCAACTCCAGTCATATTTGACCTTACTGCCTATTTCTATCATCTTCTCCCCACTGTACCCCAACATTCTAGGTGTTTTGCTTGGGAAAACTGGAGGAGGAGACAGGATTCCCTAATATCACAGTGACCTACAGAGAGGGACAAAAGTACAGGTTCTCTACCCAGAAGTACCTTCAACCCCTTTCTAAGGAAACCTCCTCTGAGATCCACTTGCCCACTAACCCCAGCTATCAGGACCCAGCAATTCTGCCAAGCACCTTCAAATCTAGCAAGTCATGCTGGCTTTCTGCTTCAGGTGGGGCCTTAGCAACTGGCTCCAAATTAAAATAAAGTGATGATCCTTTGCAGGGAGAAAGTGTGAGAATTTTCAGTTGCCTGGTAGACTTTTGTGGACTACTATTGCTTTTGAGGTATTAGGAGACTAACGATGACAATGGGAGCATCTCAAGATCTCTTCAAGCTCACCCTCATTGTCTTTATGTCAGGTACCTTTCAGTTTCTACGCCAGTGTTTTGCAGCTCTGGCTGTACATTAGAACCACCTAGGGGAAAAAAGATCAGTACATGGAACTTAAACCAACAGATTCAGATTAATTGAACTGGTTTGGGGCCCAGACATTAGGGTTTTATTAAAATTCCCCAGGTGTTTCTCATGTGCCCAAGGATGGTCACAGGTCCTTTAGTGGTAGGTCTGCATTCCAGCTGTGGTGGTGATGGGTGGGAAACAGAACTTTCAGGCCAGTGCCCTTGCTATCTAGTTGTAGTTGTGGAGGACAGAGGGAAGATTATGCTGTCTTAGGGTGGACACTCCCATCTGGGAAGGAAATTTAAAAGAAGGTCCTACAGATGGAGGAGAGAAGGTAACCTCTTGGGGTCAGATTGGGAGGAACACAGTTTTCTGGGTTGTTCATTACTTTGTGGGGGTGGAGAAGTGACAGAAACACTAGAGATCAAGTCATATTCCTTAAATCACATTTCCCGTGTTTGAGCTCATTCCCTATCTGTTCTCCCTCATATCCTTGATGAACATTTCAAGTCCAAGTTATTTTCTTTGGCTTTGGAGCAATTCCAAAGGGTCAGGAGAGTCCTGGCTAGGCTGGTATCTTCTCCCCTCCACTTGGTGTCTCCAGAAGGGCAGTTATCATGAGGTGCTTAGATCCAGGAAGTTCTTTAATCAGACTATTATCTGAGTATCATGTTAATCCAAATGGTCCCAAGAGGGACCCAGAATGTAATTCTAATGTCTTCTGGACCCTTGAGATCTAGAATAAGTTCATCTGAAATCTATGCACAACCTCCATTTCTGGAATGAGGAACATGAGGAGCTCTGTAGACCAAATCCTCAGGAAACAACAATAATTGTTCAAAATTATTTTAAAAGCCAACTCTTCAAAGTCTCTGGATATTGTCCTAAGACATACAAAAAAGTGAAGAAACATTCAGGAAAATCTACTAAATCTCAATAAGTGAGAATTTGTGGCATTTGAGCCATGACCCATTCAGTCCCTCCCCTCTCCTCATATCAGAGCAATGATTGAAGCTCCCGTATGGAAGAGTATGGCCAAGAAAATGGGGTTCCCTCACTCCTTAGCTCCTATGAGAGATGATAATTCACTGGAAAAGGAAGATACCAGCTTACCTCTCCCTCCCCATCACAACTCCAAGTTGTAAAGGTTGAATTTCTTGTGGGCCTAAAGATTCAACAAACCCTTTCTCCATCTCTGTCCCACTAATAGGGCATATGCTCCTTCCAAGCCTTGACATGCTGAGAATAGGGGGGCCCTCATCACCTTTGCCCCAGCTTGCTCATAGGGCAGAGATTCCAGGTTTGGAGGAGGCAAATTCAGACGACCAGAGGTTGCTTTTCCTGCCCAGAACCATGCTCATAAAGCAGGGTGTCACCAAGAGAAGTGAGCCCACAGGTTCACAGCAGGGCAGACATCATGCCCAGTCAATCCATAAGAAGTCCAAAGATCTACACCAAAGAAAATGACTTTATCAGTGTGGGAAAATCTCAGCATAATGGTGCTCCAAACACAATGGAGATTTTGGTAGGCAATTAAAAACAAACTAAACTGTAGGCCAGCTAGTTTACCAGAGAAAAGCAGAGAAAGACAGCTTAGAAGAGCCCTCCTGGGATCAGAACAAACCTCAAAAACTGCCAAAAATGACCCCTGCAAAGGGATCAGTCTATGGGGCAGTTTATCCCCCAAGGCCTCAGAAAATAGAGCAATTGGGCCAGAGATTTAGCTCAGTGGCACCGCACCTGCCTCGCAAGTGCAAGGTCCTGAGTTCGATCCCTGGTACCAAAAAAAAAAAAAAAAAAAAAAAAAAAAAGAGAGCAATAAGTTGACAATCAGCGGAGGCTAAAATTTGGTTATTATAGCCAGCAGAGGCAGAAAGTCTGACAGAGAGATGAGGGAAAGTGAGAGTCAAAGAGGATCCTGCTTAAACCAGTGCCATCCCAGAGTGACTGTGTTCATGCCCAAGGCTGTACCTTATAAGCAGTCATATCAGAGGCTTCATATTGAGGGAGGAAATACATCCCTACAATAGTCCTACAGGGATGTAGGACCTAAGTCACTAAACAAGTAAATAATAAGCGACAACAACAAAAACCCCAGAGAGGCAGAGAAATCAGAATCTAGAGTTGCTAACATATAATACTTAAATGTAGTTTTCAATGAAAATTCTAAAGTATGCAAAGAAACAGGAAACTATAATCCATATGCAGGAAACAAAAAATCAAACATGAGAAACTGGCTGTGTAATGTCCCAGATATCAGACTGAAAAGACTTAACAGACCAAGACTTCAAAGCAGCTATAGTCAAAGAACTAAAGGGAAGCATGCTTAAAAGTAAAAGAGAGTGTGATGACAATGTCTCATCGAATACAGAATATTAATAAAGAAATTATTTTTAAAAGAAATTCTGGAATTGAAAAGTATAACAACTTCTCTACAAAGGCTCAACAAAGATTTGAAGTTGCAGAATAAAGAATCAGCAAACTTGAAGATAGACAATAGAGATTAGGCAATCCAAAGAACAGAAGGGCAACTGAGTGATGAAAACAGAACAGAGCCTGTAAAACTATTTATGGGAAAGCATGCGGCACACCAACACTCACTCAGTGGGAATGCTGGAGGATGGGTGGAAAGAGAGGAGCAGGAAAAGTACTTGAAGAAGCAATGACTATAAACTTCATAAGTTTGATTAAAAAGTATGCATTTTAAGAGCTGAACAAATTCCAAGTAAGATAAACACAAATATATCCATACTTAGACATATTGTGTTAAAAATGTAGAAAGACAAAGAGAAAAGTTTGAAAGCATAAGAGAAAAATAACTTCACAGAGAAGGGAATGCCAATAAGATTAAAAGCTTGTTGCTCATCAGAAACAATGGAGGCCAAATGGCAATAAAGAGAATCTGTTGGCCAAGAATTTTATGTCCAACAAAACCATCATTCAAAAATGATGGGAAAATAGATTGCCTGATAAACCAAAAACTCAGAGAATTTGTTACCAGAAACCTGGCCTTATATGAATCACTAATGAAGGTTCTTCAGGCTAGATCTAAGCAGCCCTTGTGAAAATCTGAATCCTCACAAAACAAAAACAAAATGAACAAAATATAAGAAAATATAAGAATAATGTATCTCACTGAAATTAAATTAGTATAAATCTAAAATAGATTCTGACAAGCTAAAATGAATATGGTAAACCATATGGTGATCACTAAAAAGAATGCAAAAAGTGAAAATATTAAAGGAATTAAAATGTTACACTAGAAAATATTTATTAATGGAAAAGAAAATATTAAAAGAGAAATACAAAATAAAAATATATATCACAAACAAAAAATAAAAGTAGTAGCTGTATATTCATATCACTAAACATTCAATAAGATTGGATAAAAATCAATATCCAACAATACACATTCTTCTTTAGCACACATGAAATACTGTATTTTGCAAAACAAATATGTTGGACCATAA